ATATTGAATATCAATAGAAATTATATTATTACTGCTACTACTATGAGTAATAATAATGTTAATAAAGATCCTCATAGATGGACATTAATTTCATAATGATAATATTTTAAATGACAAAAGGCCGCGAGTTAGTGTGCTAGGTCGCCTAATAATAAAACTACTATTCATACTACTAATGGTATTACTATTATATTATTGCATATTCGTAAGTTGATATATCTTATTTGGAATTTGTATTTGGTTCTCTAATCCCTGCCTACTTCACATCCTCCAGTTTAATTACGTACAATAATGTTATTATTATTGTTATCATATTGTTACTGATATTATTTTTATTATAAGTCAGTGAGTTACTCCTCGGGCAAACAGGCATAATTAATCCATAAGTATGACCCAAAACGTATGCGTAACATGACTTTCCATGTAAATAATAATTAGCAATTAGGTGCGTTGCTTCTAAATAGGATATTTATTTGGAATAACCATTGAATCCTTCGAAGGTGTGCGATATGTAAATTCGTTAATCAATCAACAAAAGAATAATAGTGATTTCATAGAAATGCTAATTATAATAATTACAAGCGGCCACAAGGCATTGGCGGTGAAACATTTAGATAATGTGTTATATCGTATAATGATCATGATAATACATTTATAGATATACTCAGATATAGGAATTACTTTTATGTTAATAATGATAATAATAATGGTAAGTTAGTGTTGGGTTTAAAGAAATTCTTAAGCTTACTGCCATTTTGAGTGAAAGTGTGTCTAATGGAGAAATTCTAAGGTTGATCTCAACAGATGACGACAGTTGATTCCTCTTGTCCAGGTGTTGGTTGGCGCTGTTTTTGAAGCAATCTTCTTTGATTCTAGTGGATACTTGCTAGGCCTTCATCCGTCATATGATGGATATATATACATATAATATATATATATATATATATGCGGAATTGTAGTCCATCCTTAATTAGAGGCAAGTCCAAGTGGAATTAACTGACTTCGAGGTATCTTCAAGTCATTTCGCTGTGGAAAATTCAGACATCAGTTCTTTCATAACTTTAGAAAGCCTGCAAGTGCTAGCGATAGTTTCCAAGCCTATCGACTTGATAAAGGATGAAGTAA